ACTGCCAAGGAGATACCAATCTCAGTGCTTCCCAAAGTGAAAGAAGACCTGGATTAAATAGGGAAGAATGGTATAGCAAGAACTCATTACTGAAATACCTGTCATGTGCATGTATGGTGCCTGTTATGAAGAAGATATGGCGTATCCACATATTAAAAACCTAACACAGTTCAGTGAAGCAGCAAGGAAAGAAAGGTTTTACTCTTCCCAATATGGGAGATATTTGCTCCAAAGTGTTACATGATTTGCCTAGATAGATACAGCTAATGGATCTTGCCAAATCCTCTCCTTTCTACTAGTGCCAATGTGACAACTCTGTAATGCCCTTGGGGAGATACAGTGCCAATTACCTTCCATACAGTGTCACAAGCATCCTAAAAATCCACCACATGATCAAAAGGGTGTAAATCCAGAGGAATATAAGTCTATATAAGTGACATTTTAGTTTATGGAACCCCTGAGAAAGCACATTGCACCAGATCAAAAGAGTTTGTGAAGGCAATCAGGGGTGCGAGACTAAAATCAACAGAAAAAAATATCATCTGGAAAACCTTTGTCATTCTCAGGGTACCTGAATCATAAATAGAGATTGCGAGCAGATAAGAAGAAAAGACAAAATTTTAGTTGAAATCCCATCAGTGAAAATATCATGACAAAAACTGAAGAGAGCTCCTTGGTAGGATAACATGTTGGAGTTAACATTCTCTGAAGATGGATTTCTTTATGAATTGCTTTAAACAGATTCTGTTTCAGGACCTCAGATAAAGGCACAGGAATGCACTGTATGATCTGAAGAAACTATTGAGCTCATCATTATAACTAGTATTTTAGGAGATTTCCAAGTCAAGAAGAGTTTCAGAAGATGCCAGCAGCAAAGATCTCAGTTACACTAAGATGGAAACGTATAGTATATCATTTCAAGTGGCTTTCAGATGCTGAGATTAAATGCACCCAGCTTGAAACTTTAAACTCCAAGCTTTTCAGCTACAGAGTCCTTCCTAATGTTTCCAGCTCTCATCAGCCACAGTTGGATAGACAGGTTGAACTGTAAATATAGATGACTCAGAGACTTCTACACTGATAATGCCCCCTATTAGTCCTGTGGCTCATCTATAGGATAATTTCTGGCTCAGTCACGAGACTAAACCCATTTTGGGTTGACAGATAGAAACACTAGTATCAACCACAGAGGTAAATCTTTGTCTTAAGTACCTGAACAGCTGACAGGTGCTAACTGAGATGTCTCAGGATTTCCATTTTAATTGTTAGAATACAGTCCAAAGTTTATCCATGCTTAAACAGAGACCTGTTCCTATTTAAACAGTGGCAATCACTAGCTCTTGTAGCTGAAGGAAGCATACCTTGACAGCCCCCACAGTAGAGACTGATCAATTTAATACAGGAATAAAAAACAGGCAGTATTGACAGCTGAACCTAATTTGTCCTTTGACCCTAAGAGCAGTGGTTTTCTTGCTGCAGCCTTCCTGAATAGAAGTAGTGCAGACAAGGAATGCTAACCTACTGAATAGGAGTAAACAGTCTTGGATCTAATGATCCAAGAAAATCAGTTAAGGAAACCCCAGCCCCAGGCCAGATGTCCAGAACTGACTTCATAGTGAAGCCAACAATTTAATTAATGCTCCTTAAAAATTATTCAAAAAGAAAATCGTGTGTGTGTGTGTGTGCGTGTGTGTGTGTGTGTGTGTGTGTGTGTGTATGTGTGTATGATCAGAGGCAGTTAGGATGAGATATGTATTGTTTCTTTCAGACTATATGAGAAAGTCACGTAGGAGACAGAAAGGTTCCAGGTGAACCAGAGAAAAAGCCTGCTTTAAGGGTGATATGGTTTTTCTTACTCTAATACCATTCCTCGAGCAGTGCTATGGGAAAGTGACTTCCATTGTCATGTGACCAGCACAGTCTGAGTTCAGGATGAAAGCTTAGATCAGGTTCTGATTTATTTGAACATGTCTGCTCATCCCTAGTTACTTTTCCTTTTAATTAATCTCCCTTTGCAAGGAGCCACTTGGCAGCTATGTTAGCTCTCTGTTTCCCATTAACTTCTTGTTTCTTTGCTTTAAGCCATGGTGGCTGTTTTCGATTTATTAGAAGCATGAGGAGAAAAGCAAAGCAAAGGCAGCAGAGATTTAGACTTCTGAAACGTACAGTTCTGGGCTGACGGAAGAAGCCAGTGGTATCTGACAGGACGCCGACTCTCTGATTAAAGCATTTGGCGGCTTTGATAAAAGGCCCTTAACTGCTTGTGCCACTCAAACCAGTGGAGAGATAATGAGGAGACACTGGCGGCACAGACAAGGCCTCTCTTTACTAGTCCCCTATACTTTCACAGGGCCATGCATGCAGAAAGGGGCTGATGAACTTATTGCTGAGGAGATAGTCGTCTCTTCTGTGACAATAAGAGGAAGTGAGATAATTGGGGGATTGAGGGAAACCACCCATGGAGACACCACTTAGCGGGAATCCCAAAACTGGAAGGAAACCTCTGTTGATTTCTTATCACTTTACAATGTGGAGGCAGCTGATGAATTGCTTTGTGCTGCCAGGACACACCACAGCCAGAGATTGCCCAAAGGGTTTGTTGTCGTTCAGGCTTTCTTTGCTTTTTTTTTTAAGAGCCTGGCAGGGAGGAGGATCTGACAAAGGTTAAACTAACTTGGAAATAGAGCATGGTGGCCACTGGAGCTGGTCTCAGAAACATCAGCGACACAGACTAAACTGAAGAGAACAAGAAGGGTGGCATGGTGCCATTTTCTCCCCACAGATATATGTCTGCACTATAATCTGAAGGCATGATTACAGCTCATACAGTCATTCCTAAACTGGCTTTAAGCTAGCTATCTTGGTCACTAGGAACAATGTAAACTGGTGCAGCAGGGGGCTACGCTACCCAACTGGGACCCTGAATAAATACTTGGTGACTACACCAAGCTGACCTTTGTGCTGCCACAGCTATGCTGTCAGAGGTACCAAAGTACCTAGTTTAAGACTTTCTCAGATTTGTAGGAACTTCAGTCACATCTTTGAATTATAGATTTCATAAATGTTTATGGTCAGAAGGGACCTTAGTAGATCATCGAGTCCAATGATGTCTTATAGTAAAGACATAACTTAAATAAACTATATAGGTACAGTGCAGTTAATATGCTGGCCAGAAAACAACAGTTCTGTTGTATGAAAAGTTCTGATTTTGCTTTTGTTCCGCATTAGGCTGAAACTGAGTCCTCTCAGATTTTTTTCATGGAAATACACATATGTGTGCATACATGCAACACCCACATGCACTCTCCTGCAATAGCCTTTGGGTAGGACATTCCCCAGGGATGTGGAGGTTCAGGTCCAAGTTGCTGCTGTTCCTGATTAATACAATACATTTCCCCATGTCTTGCTACTTGCATGTACAACATCTAGAGTTATGGGGACTTGATCTCAGCTAGGAGCACTAGTTGTTATGCTTTTATGATTCCATATGGGAATCTGGGCCTAGTCACAGACTCTGCCCATGTGGAATGAAAGGCTTTGAGTGTTACTATAAGTAACTCTCTATAGCAGCCTGGTGTATCGGTCCTGGGGATGTCACTATCTTCTTTTCTCTGGAATGCCCTTATGGCCCACTCCCACAAGTATTCCTCATACAAGTATTCCTACTAACTGCAGAGAACATGGGCTAATCACACAGGGACAGGTGGCAAACCTCAGACTCCTCCTGGTGAGCAGCTACCCTCCAAAGTAGACTTATTGACTTTTGTGAGATTACTTATACCTTTAACTGTTGATTAGGTAGAGTTTACAGTGTGGTCCATAAAGTTCTGGCAGGGTTGGGCCATGGTCATACAGGAGGTAAGCAACAAAACTTCAGTCACAAGGCATTATGATTGGTTATAGTTGATCAATTTGTAGGGTCAAAATCGTGGTTTGGAGTTTTAGCAGAATGTTCAGGTATTACCAGGTATTACCTGACAGGGTCATGATGTGAATATTGCTGTTATGCCCCCTGCCAGAACACATCCACTACAGATGTAGAACAGGAGACTGAAGAGAATACCTGACAGTGAAAAAATGGACATTCCAGCAACTGAGTCTTCATCATCAGGGGCTGACAAACCATGGCAAAGGTGGTGATGTCTCAACCACCTACCTACTGAAGATGGACACTTCAAGGAACTAATGAAGAAGTGGGGCTACACCATTGGTTCAATCACCTGTGCCTGCAGCATAGAGCCTCAGACTATAAAACACCTACTGTAATACCTGCTGCAGCACCTGCTTGAAGGAACATGTACAATGAAAGATCTCACAAAGTACGATGAACGAGCACAAGCATGTGTAACAAAATGGTCAAATATGGTGTAGAGACACAAAAAGAAGAAGAAGTAACAAAGCTAGATCACCTGAACTCTAGTCTGGTTTCATGGTCACTGGACTAGGGATTCAAAAGAAGTGTAGTCTGTACACAGCATATCTGCAGAAGGGTAAGATTGCATTAGCCAAATGCCACCTGCAATCCAGACTATCTTGTTATTTACATTTACAGATTAACCCTGAAACCTTCTCAGAGCTAGAAAGACAGATAAGTCATCTTTATCTGCATCACTGGCTATCTTTCTGGATGTGGATTCAACTTTGTTGTCACCTCTGTGCTTCATCTGAACTTCTCTTTTCTCATCCATCTGAATCAATAATGTTTATACTAACTTGGCAGAGCCATCTCCACAGCTGGGTGCAGTCAGCATAGCTCCTGAAGTCAGTGAAATGACAGTGAGTTACAACAGCTGAGGATTTGGCCCAGTGGATTTAGTGAAGGTGATACTGACCCAAGGCAATGATAAGCTCTTGCCCATTCAAAGATCTTAACTTTAAACCAGATCTGGGGAATTGCTGTATTTGTTCAAGGATGAGGAACGCAAAATGTCTTTGCTGACCATTCTTAGGCAGGGAAAAAAACAAGGAGACAATTAGGTAGAAAACTGCCAATGCCTGACCTTTTCTCTTCGTACAGTGGTAGATCTGACTGTGCTCCTGGGAGATGGGGTATGGGTTGGCAGGTGGTAGCAGGTCCTGGGAGGTGCTGGAGACCCCATTCTCACACTGGTACTGGGAGCTGAGGTTGGAGGAGGTGGAAAGAACTCTGGTCTCACCACTAAAAGGGCTGTGGTTAGAGGACACTTTTTGTCTCACCGTGCTCCTAGGAACCACAGGATACTCTTTGCTGAAAAACACAGGCAAAAAATGCAGCATGTTAGTGTCATGGATTTGCTCCAATTTCTACTGAAGCCATCCTGTCAAAGAGTCTATGCTCCATTCATGCTGTCTGTTAGAAGATATTCCACAAAGATTAGCACACCTTGTAATATGCTTCCTATTGGGTCTCTTCCTCTTTACATGGCCCTCTCAGCCAGTAAGACGACTATTATATAAGAAGACCTACTTCTGCCATCCTGCTGACAGTGAATTGAGCTGACTTGAATATAAATTATACATCACTTTTGCCTATTGTTTCCCATTGCTTTTTACCAGCCTCTACAAGTTTCTCTGTCCTCAGAAGTTGAACCCCTCAAAGCAGACATAGTACTTTGGTGTCTGTAAGTAATAGCCAATCAATTATACATGGTATAGTCTGGTGTGGCCAACCTGTGGCACAAGTGCCACAAGTGGCATGGGCAGCCTCTGTGTCTGGCACTTGGCAGATCAGGGAGGACACAGGCAGCACAGCAGCAGGTAGGGCAGGAAGCAGAAAGCAGAGCAGATCAGGCAGGGAGCACAAATCAGGAAGTGGAAAGGAAAAAGAAGATCAAGCAGAGGAAAGGGATCAGAGTGGCATTCAAGGATGATGCAGGGTCAATGTGTGGAGCACCTGCCAAAAAGACTGGCCTGCATTGGTCTAGTCAAACACTCAGGACCAGTCCATAATGGGGAGGAAATAGGGGGTGTGCCTGTACCAGCATAGTTAGCGCCCCCATAATGCCCCAGTGTAAACTCTGACTTGTTCCCATGAAGCTATACCAGGGCTGAAATACCTCTACAGCTACAATTCTAGCTACAAATCCCACACAGATGAAGCCCTGTGGGATTTTTCATTCATGGTGGCTGGGCATTATCATCTCCATTTTACAGAAACAGAAACAGAAACAGAGGTATTTCATTGAGTTCAGCTGTGCCCACTCTATTATTTATAGCAGGACTGAGAGGATTCTACCGTGATCACAGGGATTAGGATGCTTTAACTGCCACATGGTAACAGTACAATAGACAAAGAATGGAAGAGGAAACTGAGACTCAGGGAAGTAATGTGATTAGCTAAGCTCCCATAGAAGCTACATGACCGAGCCCTGACTAGCATAGATATCTCGTATCTCTTTCTCCTGTGCTCTGTCCATTGGACCTTGTTGCCTCTTCTGTGATCACAGACATCATGCATATGAGCCCAAACAGCACGTTGTACTGACTGGTTCCTGCAGACATTTATATCCCAAGGTAAATTTGCTTAAATGAGGTATCAGTGGGATTCTGCATGTGGAGAAAAGGCCTCTTGGGCATAACAGCTTGTAGGATCTAGCCCTGCATGTTTCCATTATGAGATCCCTCAGAGAGAACTAATCACTGTGGCAACAAGGAACTTATTTACAAAACTTAGCAATAGCATTGGTATAAAACTACCCAGAGTGGGCAGTGTTTATCCAAACCACTACTTCCGTAATTGCCAGAAATATTACTAGCCATGATGTCACTGGGGGGTGGGGGGTCAACCAAGAGCTCAAAAAACAAATAAGTGTGTCTTGCATCATGCCACAAAGCTTGCCAAAATCTGGGTTCTTGTTCTCTGCCAAGCAGAAAATAGTCTAAAGGTGGGGTCTTTCCCCTGAGGAAGCATAGGTGCTCCTCCCAGGAGAATGACCACAGGAAGGGACAGCAGGAGCTCAGGGATGGGTTTGAGGTCTGAGGTCTGGGACCCAGATTCCACAGGGCAAAAAAGAAAGAAAGGACGTGGAATGAAACCAGAGGCTCAGTCTTTGGATACTTACAAGTATATGAGTTCCATGGAAGTCAGCAGATGTTTTATATGTATTATGGACTCTGAGACATACTTTCAATTCTGTGTGCATTCGGGTGTGGAGTTTCTACCCTCTGCTCTTGTTACAAGAGAGGTTACACAGTCTTACATAGAGGCAGTGGACATGGCTTATAAATGGTATGGAGCTCAGCATTTCCCAACCTTGAGGTTCTAGTTTACCAATTAGGGGAACCTGCCATTTGGTACTGTGCTTAACCTCTCCACTGAGTCCTTGAGGAAATGTTGTACATACCAGGTCCCAAAGCTACATCAGTACTTTATTCCTTCTCTGAGGAAATGGGCAGAGAGGGAGATGCTACATTAGAAATTCCCCTCAAATTTCCCCTTGAATTGGCAAACTTCAGGCTATTTTCTTCCTCTGCTCCAGCTCACCTTTCCCAAACCCACAGAACCCAACTGTGCATATTCATATGGAGTGAGACATGGGACACGGTGCTACCAAGTTATGGAAATTACTTAATTTCCATCCCTGTGGTCACTCTGGGGGACAGGAAGATGACTTTCCAAAGTGTTTCCACTATCTTCCTATGGGGACATCAGTGGGGGACAACCTTTTTGGCAGGCATGCCACAAATTAGCCCTGCATCTTCCCTGAGTACTACTCTGATCCTCTTTCCCCTGCCCAATCTGTTGCTCTACTTTCTATTTCCTGCCCTATCTGCCATTGTGCTGCTTATCTTTCCTTTGATCTGGTCATGCTCAGAGGCTGCCCATGCCCCTTGTGGCAGGTTGGCTATCCCTGAGGTAGGGGATTTATCTGTGTATAGCTCCCATTCAGACAGAAGTTAGTTATGGTACTTTATGGACTAAAATACCACAAGAGTACCCCAGTCATGATCACGATTCTACTGGATAAATATGCAGTGAGGGACCCTCCCTGCTCCAGTGAGTTTCTAGCCCATATGGATACATTCTCTGTCAAAATGGAAAACTGCTGTCTACAAAAAACACTCGATTTTTATTGAAAATCTGACTGCCAGAAAACTGAGCTATATTTATTCTTAAATTCAGTATAATGCCTGGGTGGGAGTGGTAGTTCAGATACCTCCTGCTTCCCACTGAGATGTTTTCCCAATAACGCACCATGATCATGTGGCTGCTGTGATTCACAAACCCCCCTCACAGGGGCAGAAAACCGGGGTCCACCACTAGGAGATGGACCCTCAGGAGGCTCTACAAAGGGAGTGGAAGGAAGAGGTGCTGAAGTACAGTTCTGGTGCTCTACAGTGCCAAGTCAAATTTTGAATATTTCAATGTTCAGCTGAAATATTTTTATTTTTATATATACCCAAAAACCCCCTCAATTATTTTGGTGGGAAAAAAATTATTTTCTAGCCAACTCTATATAAAAAACCACTGTTCCCTCTTGCCCACTTACCTCTGCATCTCTGCAGAAAGGCATATTTAAACCATATTCTTCACCATGGTATCTGAGTTCTAACAAAGAGATTTCTCGGGTACCTTCTGAAGCAATAGTTATCTTGAAACATTTATATTGCTTGCAGAGTACCCTTAGTACACTGTGTACAGCTATCACTTCAGACTGCTCTTTAAAAATATATTAGATATTTTTCAGTGTCTAAAAGTTCCTGTTCTAAAAATAGCCAATTGTAATCCTAGGCTAAGGTCTAATGGAATGAAAGTATTTACTTACTGCTGGCACAGAGAGATCATCATGCCTAGGAAATTTGTTTTTCAAAATAACTGCATAATGAGCAGCTGGGAGTATATGGAAGGCTGACTAGGTCTGGCAAATATATTCAACCTTTTGAGCAACGATGGGACATCACTGCATTAAAGCCAGAATGCCTGGGTTATACTTTTACATTAGGAAGTTAACATATTACATATTTTCACATTAAAGAATGGTAATATAAAAAGATTGAAAGAATTTACAAGGAGGGATGTGGTGTCACCAGCCTACTTACAACACTTGATAGGACTAATGATATACATCCAGCTACCATGTTTGAGGTATTACAGGACTATGTTGTAGCCCCAACCAAAACTGGAGTTGCACTCTGCTAGGTGCTGCAGAAATACAGTGAGAGACAATCTCTGCCCCGCAAACCTTCCAGTCTAAATAAACCAGACAGACCAAGGGCAACCAGATGGGAGCATTATTTTATTTTACTGCCATATTACAGACTGGGTGGCAGAGTACATAAGGTGTGTTGCTGGGATCCAGAGGTGCAACCTTAAGTGTTGCTCTAGTCTTGCATCAATGGGTGCCACACCACCACCCCTGCAACCTACCCAGTGGTTGACCTAGTGACAAAAAGATACCCAGTTGTTTGGCTTGGGAGACAAAGGTGGCTCGATGCAATGCTAGCCACATCACTCCCTTGTGTGCTGCTGGCTACACAAACTGGTGTGCCTTTAGTGTGTGCCTGTGTGCCTTTCCTATGTGTGCCTTTACCTTGTAAACCTTTGGCCATTTTAAAGATGGTAAATTGAGACCCAGAAAGACTAAATGACTTGCCCTAAATCACACAGAAAGCTTGAAGCAGACTCATGAATTAAGCTCATAAATTAAGTGTGGCCTTGTGGGTAGGGCACTAGACTGAGACTCAGTCTAGTGCCCTACCCACAAGGCCACACTCCCTCTCTTAAAGCCATTGGCTGGATTTCTACAAAGCTGTGTGGAAATGTACCTCCTTGACAGAGAGGGACCGAGGACAAAAAGGTGAAGGAAAAAGATAAGAAGGAGAGACTGGAGGAAGAGGAAGCCCTGGAGGTCTTCCTTCATGGCCCCTGGCCCTCAACAAAAGCAGCAGAAGTGGTAAGGAGATGGGGGAGTCCTAGGGTGCCCGCTCTATGCCAATCAGTGGAGAATTTTGAAATATTTCACTACTCCCTGGCTAGTGGTACAAGAGTGTCGCTGCAGACTGGGGCAGCTATGGGCTTACTGGTCACATGAAGTCAAATCAGGTTGCATTTTAACACATTCTCACAGCTAACTGCTCATCAAAGACATATTGGGCTTATGAATAAATCACAGAGAATGCCCCTGATCATGAGTGAAACAAAGGAAAACATATGAATGAGCTGGATTTGATTTCACTGGGATTTGCTACCTTTTAAAATCCAAAATGCCAGTCTGGCTTACCAACCCATATCCTGTTTAATTTATCACT